CGGTCAATCAAACTTTAAGCTAACCAGCTAGGCATTGAATTAACAATTTATACTGAGCATACATAACATCACTCAGGAAGCCACATTATACAATAAGAACGCATATATCATCATAATTTTCAGTGTTAATAAAGCATGCGCTGAACACTAGTACTAAACAAAGACAGATACATACTGTTCTATTAAATGAAAAACAATAAAGGCACGAACAAGTCTCAAGAAAATAGCATATAAGGCCACAAAATAGTAGAGAAGAAGATGATCTTACAGTTACAGCACAAATGGCTCAGAATGTCACTGAAAAAAATTCAAACCAGAATGACATGACATCATACATAAACGATTCTACCCATGGGGTATAGAGCTGGGGCAATATGGAAGAATAGAAACAAGACTTTTCGAGAAAAAAAGTTCATTAAAAATCCTTTAGAGATTATTTTCTACGCTTGTGCTTTTATGCAATATTGGATAGGTCTGTATGCATAGATGGATCAGGAACAGCTAGCTGGTCGAAGGGGTCAATACTATGCTTCAAGTGGCAAAGGAGATTCTGGCATCATCTCAGAAGTTGTAAGGCGACAACCGAAAGATGGTGACAAACCGAAGATGAAGACAACTCTTCATGAAGTGTCTCCCTTCGCTCGTCGCCTGATGTGTGTGATTATGGCTATTATGGCTGTTGTAGTCGTCTTGTTGCAAACTTTTTATGTAAATTAGGCCTTAGTCTGTTCTTTAGTTCGGGTCACTTCACTGCTTGGTAATCCCTGGATTACCTGGAATGGTTGTAACTGTTTCAACTCTACTTCTACTTAATGAACACGTGTCACAAGGACACGTTCATGAAAAAAAAAAAAACTCTTCCTGAAGTGTTGGAGTAATGCTGCTATGAGCTGGTGGCATAGTCAGTTTAGTAGTGCCAGACTTTGCATGGTTTCTTCAATGTAGTTTCTTAGCTGCTGGGAAGTTGGTGTTGGTTGTTTTGGTTCTGAACAGGTCAGGTTTGGTTGTTCTGCTGGTCTGCTAGGTTGGTTCTGAGACAGAACTATAGCTCCTGTTGGTTAGTATCATAACCGCAGGTTACTTTCTGAATCTGTCTAATCTGTGTAATTTTCTGGATACGCTTGTATTTCCGTTAATACTATAATGAAAATGGGGGTTCCTCGTGTGGAAAAAACATATAAGCGATTCAACTTGCCTATATTGTTACCTGAACACATTAACTTGGAGCTTCGGTTCACGTAAGTTCATCAGTTCAATTCAGTCTGAAACAAATTCAGATTACTGCGCTGGGATGAGAAACGGACAGAACTAACATGAATTTTGGGCAAACCATCTAGTCTATCAACTGACCAACTTGAAAGGAATGATTAAATCAACCTTGGCATAGATGAACCACGAAGCAAGTCACACATGCCCGCCCATACTAGATTGGTGCTGAAATAAATAAATAAATAAATAAATAAAGGCTCCTACTTGTTTGAGAGATGATGGTAGAACTAGCATGAATCGAGTCTATCAACTGACCAACTTGAAAGGAATGAATCAAATCAACCTTGGCGTAGATGAACCACGAAGCAAGTCACACAAGCCCGCCCATACTAGATTGATGCTGAAATAAATAAATAAAGGCGCCTACTTGTTTGAGAGATGATGGTAGAACTAGCATGAATCTAACCGGGGGAAAGAGAATTAGCTATCTAGATTTCGCCTAATAAATGAACAAATAAAATGATGAACGGATCAATATATCAACTATGTTCGTTCAGATCGAAACACAGGTGAAATCACGAAGGAAACGCCAAACAAAAAAGTGCAGCAGCTTCGTTTGATTCCTCCAGCTAGCTCCCTCATCAGGGATCGATGGATAAACAACCACGGCCACGGGATGTTTCTACAGCTGAGATGAGAGGAGCACCCAACTCTCACTATGATTTATGCTATATTAATCATTGCGGAGAGGTTATAGGGAAACGAATTGAACACACGTACGTACCGATCGGTGAATGAAGTCGTGCTCGCGCCTCGATCGACGCAGGAGATGTTCTGGATCTGGCGGCGGGCGGCTGCCCCCGACGGCGAGCAGAGGTGACGGAGGCCTCAGGCAGTCAGGCTCAGGCCTCGGTGGATCACTCGATCAGGGAGGGAGGGGTCCAGGGGGCAATCCGATCTTCTTGGCGAGAAAAAGTGGACAAAAAAAATGGAAACGGCGGCGGCTGCAGGGTGCAGCTCCCCCTCCCCGCGGCGCTATCTGCAACTGCAACCGAATCGCAGCTCGATCCCAACAGGAGGGCCGTGGACTGCCAAAGCTGCAATTTTTTTTTTCTTTTTTTCTTTTTTTATGATGGGCCGGTCGGGGTACTCGGTCGATCAGGCGACAGGGAGTGCACCACGAGACAGGGGATCAGGGAGAAGGTCGCGTCGCGTCGCGTACATGAAAGCATATTACAAAACCATTTTCAGCAACCGTCAAAACTCAAAAATGATGTTTAGCCGCGGCGTCATGACTGTTGTCTTTACTTTTCTCAAAAATTTTAAGTAAAACAATCTGTAGAGGCAATTAACATGACCCGGCTCTAAAACAATATTTTCAGAAATTGAAAATTAATTTAAAAAAGTGAGATTGTGGATCGGCTTACCAAATCCATACTTCTTATATAAGAAACTGGAACACAATCGACTCCCTCTGTCTAGAACAGATTAAAGGCTCATATCTGTTGGATCTCGACAAGTGGAGACACTATAAATAAAAACAAAGTAAAGACGGTGACGAAGTCTCGAAGAGTGGTTTGAAGTGGCAAGAGGGCTTGCATAAACCCTCATTGTTTTTTGCTACCTTGAGAAACTAATTCCACCCTCGACAGGATTTTATTAGAGAGACTACTAAGACGTGATCCGCTATTTTAAGTTGTACGGCTCAAGAAAATTGCATGCAATCAAGATGGAGTGATAGATAAGTGGGGAGGAGCGGATGAGGTTGTTGATGCTTGTGTTCAGGATGATATAGATGAGTTGATTAGGTTGTTGTATCTAGTGTGAGATGGGAGACGTGTACTAGCTAGTGATTATTGGGCTTTCTGGACCTCGCCACTCGGCACCCCAACTAGGCCGGCCCAGTGTACCATACCCCGCTTTACCTCTTCCCCGCCTTCGCCAAACATCGTCTTCCCCAAAGCTCCAAGACGCAATGGCCGTCTGCGCCTACATATGCTCCAATACTAGTGTCGCGTCCGCGATCTCGAAACAGAAATATGGAGAAGTTATTCGCCGTCAACGTCCTACCCGGCAGTATGGCTGCACTATCTCGCCCTATTGGTAAGTATTATAGCTATCCCTCTGTCATCCTCTCTCATCCACTTGCCACATTACCGTCTCCGCCACCATTGCCAGGTTTGCTTCCGTCCCCGGTTTACATTTGAACCGCCAAGCTCTACCTATGGAAAGATCATATGTCTATTTCGAAGTGTAAACACGTTGGATGCGAGGCGAATTGAAGCGGGAAGCACAGGCCGCGAGCCGGTGACAAAAGCACCGTCACAAATCACGCCACCGTGGAGGCCGTCATCAGTTCCTCGCGCCGAGGCGGCAGACGGCAGACGGCAAGTCCGAGTGCCATGGCTCGTTGGACGAATTTGCCCCCGCCTCATATCCATCCGCCTCTCTTCTCCCCAGTCCGGCAGTCCCCACCCCAGTCGGCCCGCCGTCCCCGCCGCATCCACCCTCGCCGCGAGACGCCGCAACCAGCCCAGCGCGCGGACTCAGACGGGCCCGGGCGGGCTCCAAGCTCGTGCTCGTCTCCATGCCGCACGAGCGCTCCGGACCCGATCCTGTGAGTCATCCTCTCCCCGTCCCTCCCTCTCCGATCCGGTGAGCGCTTTCTCCCCGTCCCTCTCTCTCCCTCTCCCGCACGCACGAGCCAAGGTTTGCATGCCGCGTCTCTTCCACGTCTAGATCGATAGCCTGCTGGCCTGATTCCAGGCGTCGAGCCCCCACCGATGGAGCTTCCCCGTCGAATCGGCCCATGCACCGCTGGATCGGTCACCTAGCTGCGTCAATGGAGCTCATCCTTTGGAATCAACATCTTGCCCTCTATACAATCCTACTTCCCGCGGGGTGGATCGAGTTTTTCTTTTTCTTTTTTTTAACTGTCACCGGGGGATTTAAACCCCCCACCTGAATTTTATTCATTGTAGTATTGATGGTTCCTTTACATATGAACTGCTCATAAACATGGAGCAGAGGGGGAGGAGTCGATGCACACTTGGGTGCTAAATTAAGAAGGACATTACACCATTGGTCAACTACATGCCTCGAGGCTACTGGCATTCTCAACCGCCAAAGTTGAGCCTCGTTTCTGCATGCAGTGGCGAATTGCCTTAATGATTGGGCTTCATTTCTGAAAATGATTTCATTTCCACGCTTCCACAGCTGCCAACAACACAGGGCCAAAGCGTTCCTGAGGAATGGAACCTGGCAGCGAAGAACGGTGTAGGTCCCTAGCAGTTTGGTTAGCTGGCCATTGAATCCTAATAGCAGCCCAGAAAGCAACTGCAAAATCACAGCGGAAGATGATGTGGTCCTTCTTGTTGCATACTTCACAACTACAGCATTGCTGTTTATACAAGGCGTTTACAAATGCCTCCAAAAGTGGTCAAATCGCCTTCAAAGACCTTTGAAGGCATTTTTTAGAATGCCGCCTATAACATGGAAGTAAAAGGTCTTTTGAGGCGTTTTTTCCAGAATGCCTTTCAATATCAACATTTAAAGGCATTTTCTAGATGCCTAGAATACTTTTTAGAGGCACTCTGTACTAGGCCTTCAAATATCGATGGAGGCGTTATTAGAAATGCCTCCAAAACCAAGATATCCATGCAAGACTTCCTACCAATATCAAATTAGCACATTAACAATTTGAGCACACATTAACATTGGATGCATCCAAACTTTATAGACATAAGTTTTCATCTCCAAACATCGTACAGCAAGTGTCCAGCAAGTGCAGCTCACCACCGCGCCGCGCCACTGCACCATGCCGCCGCGCCGCCGATTATCTCCAGGCCACTGCGCCGCCGAGTCTCCACGCCGCCGCCACGCCACGCTGCCACACTGGTGCTTGTGATGGATCGCCAGGACGACGATGATGATGTGCAGTACGTGCGTGGTTTGAACCTGCAACAGAATGCAACAAACAACATGTTGTTCAATCTGCACAGTTAACTGAAGCCTGAAGACTACCAACAGACAATCCAGGCTGAATAATAGAATGCACAGTTAACTGAAGCATGAAGACTACCAACATTTCACAGAAACCTGAAGACTACCAAGTTCACAGAAACCTGAATGCTACCTGACAATACACTGAAATCTGAAACCTGAAGCCATGCAATGGACAGAACTGAAACTGGATTCTAGCTAACATATGCTTACTATTGATCGTCCGACAATGGATTGAACTGTCTACTCTGAACCTAAACAGAGGCATATGTGGAATGAAACCAACCTCCATCTGTTGCTGCACCTTGCAGGCCATCGCAGCGTGTGCTTGCACTCCTTCTGTTCCTCCATCTATATCACCCATGACATGGAACAAAAAACAAAAGATCATTCACAGTAGGAGGATTAATACAGGAAACTGAAAATCACCATTTGAAAGACCCTCTGCTTGCGCCATCTGCTGCAGCAGCATCTTCATCTCCATCTGCTCCTTGGTCCTGAAAACGAACAACACAGGAAAACATGAAAAAACAAAAAAAAACTGAGAAAAATCAGAACATATACAGAAGAAAGACATGGCAAAACAAAAAATCTGAGAAAAAGAGCACCTATGAGAGGATTATGCAGATCAGCTATTTGTCCACCCACTGTCACTGCATTTTAAAAATCCCAAATAGTTCAATATGAGGCCAAGATATTTCTCAAAAGCATAAAGAACTATCCAATTTAAATACCCAGGAGATCTGGTTATCACAAGATAATCATAAGCTTGTGGATCTCGTAAGCTCAGGCACATGTTAGACAGACTTGTCAAAAGCTATACATTCTATATGGCACAGAATCGATAATATATTGGTGTATCGCTTCCACTAAAAACAGGTCAAAACTCATTTAAGCAATTTCTGTTTGCAACGTCAAATATTAGTAAAACCATCACTTCCAGAAAAATCAAGTATGAATCCTCATCTCCTATTTGCAATTACATTTTTTCATTTTAGCTTTCAGGCTCCCCCTGATTCCAATTGACTCAACAGCAAGCTTGTACCATAAAAACAGGTCAAAACTCCAAACAAATCATGCTCTTCTAAATTTGTGGGGGTAATTATCCACACAAATTTTTTGAGTTGATTTTCAGAAATGATTTCAAAAACAAGAAAGTGAAACCAAACTGAATTTCAAGATGTAGCTTACAGATCTGTTGCAGATGAGCATGATTCTTCACTGCAGAGAACAATTTTGAAATGATCAGCAGTAAATTCCTAATCATTTTACATGACGGAAGAACAAGGAAGCAGGAGCCTAGAACCCATTCAGATACAGTTACATGTAGATCCTCCCAGACCTTATTGTGTTCCTTTTCTCTGAATCATCAACCATGTCAAAAGACCAAGCACAAGGACCAGAAGTGTTTTTTGAGTTGGATATTTTCTTACTTGGTGGGTGCCTGACAAGAATGACAGAAATATCAGAAGTATTGTCTTACCATAATATGCATTAGGCTTCATTACGCTTACCTTCCCACTTCAAAAGTTAAGTGCCCTCGTCATCCATCACTGAATGATCAGAAAAGAGATCATGTGAAGAAGGAATCCCTTTAATGAACATTGAAACACAAAGATTTCAAAGCAGAAAAAGGGTAGTCATATTTTAATAAGAGTAAGGCACATGCTGACATTTCAGATTTCCAGAAGGCTGAGCTTTGAGTCCTTAAAGAAAAAAGATTGACCAGGATTTGTTGCCTAGAAAACCAGAGAAAAAACAGCAGGTTTGTAAGTGATAGAATCTATTAAGTGAAAACAGCATGTTTGTAAGCTGCTTTAGCTGAGCACAAGCACAAGCTGGCCATCACATGTCCAAGAAAGTAATCATATATGATTAATTAAAATGTAGCAGCAGCAACGGCAACTGATCTGTTAATACATGTCAACTAGTTTATGAAACTAATTCATCTAAAGTTATACACAATTCCTGATCTACTGTATCAGTAGGCAATGCAAGTCATTTGCATCTCAAACATATATGATGGCATGCAGAACACTCCTACAGCTGATTGTGAGCACAAGCACATGCTGCTGCTTTAGGTGAACAACACACAGCATGGTTCAGTTCATATTTCAAAGCCCGGCCATGCAGAGTACTCCTACATAAAGCACGCATCTGTTGAATGGCAACACACCTAACCTCTGATGCTATACTAATCAAGCAGCATTTATAAAAACCTGTGCTCAGTCATGTGGATTTCAGTTTTCATCAGTAGACAGTTCCGTGGTTCATGTGGCAGAGCTTTCGGTTTTAATTTTCTGTTACCCTATGAGCATAGTACATAAACCTGCTCAATTTTAGATGTGTTATTTACTCTGTCCACAGTTTGCTTTTGCTAAGAGGATTGGTCTAGATATCCAAAGCCATACCTGAAAATCACAGAGGCATTCTGTTGTTTTTTGGAACTGGGCACAGTCGTGGGGCGCCTTTGGTGTCCCAGCATAGCAGGTCCCAAGCCCTGGTAAAGGAGGAGGGCTGTGTTAGGCGCGGCGAACCAATATAAAAACTTAGCCACTTTAATGGAGATGAAACCCAAAAGAAAGGCTATGTTGTTGTTGTTGGGCACAGTCGTGGGAACAAAAACAGAAGGGAGCAGCTACCACTAATATGCCAAAAAGCATGTACAAAAACAAGTTATGGCAGAACTGGGCGGTGGCGGCGATTGATAATGGGTTGCGGCGTTGGTACTGATGGTGGAGATGCAGTGGAGTACCTCCTCGTCGGCGAGCTCGCGAGCACTCGCGAACGCCTCAGGCCAGGATGTTGTGGAGGACCTCCTCGTCGGCGAGCTCACGAACCTAACAATCTCGCCGCCGTGTCGCCTCCTCGTAGCCGCGCCGCCCGACGCAGCCACGCCGCGCAGCCGCGCCGTCCTCCCCACGGTCCCGCCGTCCTCCCTGCGCTGGATCGGAGTTGGGAGAGAGAGAGGGAAAAGCTCGCCGGAACCCTATATCCAGGAGGAGGAGGAGGGCCTACATCGTCGGGGCCGCCGCGCCACTGGATCCGCGCCGGGGTTGCCGCACCAGGGCCCGTCCGTGCCAACGCCGCCGCGCCTGGGGTCGCTGTGCCGGGCCACCGCGCCGAGGGCCTCCCGCCGCCGTCCATGGCGCGGTGAGCGCGGTGGGGCGCAGGGAGGACGCGGTGGAGCGCGGTGGGGCGTGGTGAGGCGCGGTGAGCTCGCCGGGAGGACGCCGGGCGTCGGGGAGGGAGAGAGAGAGGAAGCATCGGGGAGTGAGCTCGCCGGGAGGAGGTGAAGGTAACGGACCAGTAGGAGAGTCGTCGTTTTTTTTAACTGAGTCCTCGTTTTCTATATGCGTACAGGCGCTCAGCAAAGACGTTCGTAAAAAAACGCCTCAAATGGTCGGAAGAAATTAAGGCGTTTGTGGTAAAACGCCTCAAAAGATTAAAATTATTTAAGGCGTTTTTTAGTTTTGCCTTTAAAACAATACTTTTAGAGGCCTTTTGAGAGAAATGCCTTTATATAACAATAAATTAAGGCATTTAAAAAAATGCCTTTGACAAAATACCTTCTATTATAGGACATGCTGTAGTGAGGTGAGTCTACAATGTGCTTGACAAAAAGATTTTTGTGGCACTGAATCCTTCCCTGCATAAGGAGCTAGACGAAGAATTTGACTCTCGGAGGGGCCGAGCTCTTCCATGTAAACCAAACATTGCGGATCGAGCTTCTCCACTCGAGCTCATCGTAGTGGCGCGCCTGTCTCCCCAAACCAGCGCCTCCCCGTTCACTGTGGGTCAAGAATCTGAGATTCTCCTGCTGCTGCCACCATCAGGGATGAGCCTGGTTGCAAACCAAGCTCTCCCAGAATTGTTGTCTACTTCTAGAGTTTGCTAGGGATTGAACTAGGCAAAATGGATTCCCTGGGTCGTGAAGAATTGGTTGCTGGTAGTGTTGCTGCGCGTTAGGCATGGAAGCAGTTTACTGGTGACGACATTGAGTGGTGGCGGCAACAGCAGTTGTCGGCTCAAAGCAGCAGGGTAAGTGCGGAAAACCGGAAAAGAGATATCATGGTAAGAACTTGTCGACTTCCAGAGTTTTGTTGGCGATGGAACTAGGAAAAATGGATTCCCTGGGTTGCGAAGAATTGGTTGCTGCGAGTGTTGCTCAGCGCTAGTCTCGGTAGTAGTGTTACCGGTGACGACATTGAGTAGCGGCAGCAAAAACAGTTGTCGGTTCAAAGCAGCAGGGTAAGGGGGGAAAGAGAGAGATTATGGTAAGAACAGTTAGATTTCTTTTCCTAACAGGCGAGCCTTGCATTGCTTATCCGTGCATGATGAGCCAAGCTAAGAAAAGCAAGTTTTGCTCAGGGAAGTATCCAAGCAGCCTAACGCCGACGTCTTGCAATGAAGCAAACAGGGGGTCTAAGCCTTTTGTGGCATCACTCGCATAACTAAATTGCGGTGTGGCGAGTTCTGGTGCCCCCATTTGTCTCCCAATCCAAGAGGCTCCACCCCACAAGAAGTTTTTGTATTTTTGCGCATTAATTCACTTCATGTGCACACGTTCTTTCCACGCTCGGGCGAGCTAGAGCTTCGACGACTCGAGTGCACTATACACTCAAGAGATGTCTTTCTAGAGACCGGCAACAATTATGGTTGGTGCATATGTTTAAACCTAGGCGGTGCACAAGAGGTGAAACCGAGTTACTATTGCCTATTACCTAAAATTTTGTTTTGACCCTGGTGTCAGTGCATTCGGGTGGCTTGACATATCTTCGCCCATGTAGGCGGTTTTCATCAAACAGTGTGGATAGAGTTTTTCTTTTTCTAATTAACCAAATGGAGTGGGTCAAGTTTCTCCGCAACGGCTCTACTAGTAACAGTTGGACAGAGAACAGCCCAGGTTTTGCTTAGATTAGAAGCTTAGCAGCGACCGTCACTCTCACGGTCTCACCAACCGCGACGATGGTAGCGTGATGTCGACGACCTCCGCAACGGCGCATGAGGTCCCCGTCCTCCCAGATGAGATCCTGGAGGACATCTTCCTCCGATTCAACGCCGCGGCCGACGTCGTCCAGGCGTTCGCTGCCTACAAATCACATCGCCGAGTCGTCTGCAACCACCAGTTCCTCCGCAGGTACCGGTTCCTCCACCCTCCGCCCGTCCTCGGATTCCTGGAATCCATGGGGAAGGGAGAATTCCACCACGCCGAGTTGCCACACAAGTCTACTCCTCCCGCTAGCTCCCTCAGGCAGGTGGCAGACTTCACCTTCTCCTTCCTTCCCATGAAACCCAACAAGAAGAGGTGAAACT